CCCCAAAACCCCAAAACCCCAAAACCCCAAAACCCCAAAACCCCTAGAAGATCAGGGAGGTTGAAGGTTAGTGAGAATTAGAGGGGATGCTTGTGGGCTTCGAGGATTTTTGAGATTTTGAACATGTATTTTGTGGTGAGGGCTGGAGATGTCTTTTTGTACTTCTTTGAGGTGTTTAGGTACTCAAGGATGGCCTTTTGGGTGAGTAAGCTTGAGTTTGAGGGTTTTAGGGACTTGGGGATGCTTGAGGCTTGATTTTGTGATTTTTGAGTTTGATTAGAGATTTTGAAAGGATATCGAGAGGGCTTCTTTTGAGAAGTAGGATGCACCAACAATCTCACTTTTGAGTGTGTCTTTTTAATCTTAGTAAATGACTTATTAGCTTTAATTCTTTTGCTTCCCTGCGATTCTCTTCTAAATTTTCCACTTCTCAACGAAATTAGTTTACTCACTTGCACAGTAGAGCCATTCTTCTCTCTCAGCAAAGCATGAGTCATCTTCTTGTTCCATTTATTCTTGCCACTCAAGAATTTTCCATTAGAATGCATCCTAGCCAGCCTCTGCTTTATCTTTGCTTCTAATGACTCATCAGTATCTTCTTCTCAGTTTTCATTGAAAGATCCAGCTTTACGCCATTCACTTTGAAACTTCTTCATCAGATTCTCCTTGTCCCATTCTTTATGCTCTTTAGATTCTTTTGGCTCTGGTTCTTGTAGACAAGAATCGTCATCATTCAAGATATCAATTCTCTTAACAAAAGGGCACATTTGAGTAGCTCTTCTCTGGAAAAGATTGCTACAACTTGTAGACTTAGTGACTTCTTTTGAGTGATATAGGTTAGCAATATCAGAGTATCTTTCCTGTGAATTTCTCCCTTTGAACTTGTTCTGCAAGAAATCTCGCAACAGTGTTGCGTTCTTGCTAATTCTGGTCTTAGCCAGCAATCTGAAATTAGGGGAAGCTTCTTTGTATTCAGACATTGGGTTAGGATTGAGTCAGATCTTGCCGTATGTAGATCTGTCATAGTACTCTTCAAGTTCTTTGTTAAGGTTCTTAAACAGCACATTAGTTTCTCTTGGAATATCATTGAAGTTAGTCACCGATAGGTTTTTAGTCATTTGAGCTATAATTTAGTGTAAAAATATTACTCTTAGATTTCTTAGTCGTACAAGTATCAAGAGGATTAATATCCCTCCATCTGCTCGGACTCTGATCATGCTCAGTGATGAGGTCGCTAGGGCGAGAGAAGCTCCCGCTACCTCTCTCAGCCACAACTGAGATGTCCATCATTTCATCAGAATCATCTAATTTTCATTGTTTTGGCTTTGTAGCTTTCATTTTTAACATTTTGATTTACTAAAATTTATTAAACTTCAGCAAATTTTTGGACTTGGGGTTTTGGGGTTTTGGGGTTTTGGGGTTTTGGGGTTTTGGGG